TGTGCTCCTACTTATATGTGTTTATTTCGCATTATTTATTGGCATCATTATTTCTAATTGTATTAACTGTGTACCGGTACGACATCTGCCATACTGTAAGTTGAAGATTGTAATTTTATTTTATTTTGTAATTATCTTAAGACATAATAAATCTTAATTAATTGTAACTAGAAACTGTTTTGGGTCGTATCTTTAATATTGTTGATTATATGGTATCGTCCTTTGTTAGGCACTGTTTACAACGAGCCAATTAAAATTAAAATAGGAGATTAATTTCTCCCAATACAAGTCAGTGCGTAACAAATTGGGTTGCTCGTCCCGGATATAGCGGACTCCATATTATTATTTTTCTCAAGACCCCAATTCTAACCGAATCCATATTTTATTCTCATTAGACCCCAATTTTAACAAATTGTGGGATTTTCCGAGGATAATTTTAATCCATAGTTTTTAATACACCAATAATAAATTGAGTGTTTTTCTGTGGATTTTGACAAACTGTTTACCTTAATACACTCAAACTAATTTGAGTTCACGATACCATTTTACGACACCAACAACAGAGCTGGTTACAATTTTTTCATTAGTGTGTGCACTAAGCTTAAATTTTTATTAAAAAAAATCATTGTTATATTTTGCCTGTGTCAAAATGGATTTTAATATTGAAAACCCATCAGTAGAGGCATTAGACAAATGTTCTAGGAAGGAGCTATTTTCCATTGCTAAAGCTCTAGAAATAAATGTAGCTCATTCGGCCGTAAAAAAGACCATACGAGACATGATCATCGTTCATTGTTTTGGGTCGTATCTTTAATATTGTTGATTATATGGTATCGTCCTTTGTTAGGCACTGTTTACAACGAGCCAATTAAAATTAAAATAGGAGATTAATTTCTCCCAATACAAGTCAGTGCGTAACATAGTAATAAGTGACAAAGATTTAATCCCTTTGATATTAATCATACAATGAAAAGTTAGGTGAATAAAAGGCACCAAGTTGAAAAAAAAACAACATCTTCCTGTAACAAGCCTTCCTGTACAGTTTAATTAAAAATAATTCAAGAAAACATATATTATGATATCAGTAGTGTGGTGCATTCAGAATTTTTTTGTAAACATACTTGATAAACAAGCAATTTATTTTCAATTTTATTTGTGATACATATTCTTGAAGTGACCAAATAATTTTGACAGGGATCTTTGTTGATGCTGATAAACAAATTCTGACAATTCTTCTATTGCAAAAGTTAAATATTTGTTAATTTTGGTCAGTTATCTTTTTAAAAAAAAGGAAATACAGTTATGACCAGTTAAATTCACAGGCGGCTCAAAATTTTCTGTAATTATCCTGTTTAATTTTTTGAAAACTTGATATTACAAAAAGATTAAGTCTTGATTTTGTGATCTGTCTTTACACTTACTGTGACGTTAAGAAAAATAAAATTGGTAAGGGTAAGAAATAAACAAAATTAATTATACCTAAATATTTTTCAATTACTTTGCTTCCCTGGTTTACTTTTTTATAAAAATTAAGATAATAATAAAAATATTTCCTGTTTTCTCTAGAAACAATAGACAGGAAGACAGGACAAGGAAATGTTGAGACAGGCTGGGATGTCTTAGGTTTAACATACAGTGTTCAGTGGCCACTTCACATATTCTTTACTCCTGTTATCTTAGAAAAGTAAGTCACTGATGGTTTTTTAAGTTTACAGAACACAAAAAAACAGAAAATATATGATGTCATTATTCATAAAATACTATGGAATGTGGCTGTATTCTTGTCTACTAAAAAAATATAGAATGTCTTTGAATAAATGAACTCTTCATCCTCAGATACAATAGGGTTTTTAGCTTCCTTCTAGCTGTACGGCGGACACAGTTAGATCTCCAGCACTGTTGGAGTTTACAAATGTACAACAAGGCAGCATTCGTGTCACCTGCAGCCAGTGTTACCTGGCAACTCCGGACACATATGGCCTTTCTAGTCGATAATTTACAATACTACCTGCAGGTTGGTCATTCATAGATAGTAATAAATCAAATTTAAAATGATAACATTTTGTTTAACAAATTTTGTGTGCTAGAACTAGAATAACATCAAAGCCAAATTTTTATAAATCATCTATTTTAAGGAAGTTACCAACAATTCCTTGCATAAATTACCTCTATTAATTAAATTGTTAAGATGATTTTCAATTAAACTGAGGTGCAGTGAATATATAAATTTATAATTCAAAAATAGGTACCAACCAAGGCTTTATTTTAATTTTTTCATAACGATGTTCATAAAAATTATTATTTTGAATAAGCTGATAACAAACCTATTTCTAAAAAAAAAAATTTTGCAAATGGTTTATTTCTTAGGTGGATGTAATTGAATCTCATTACAAAATTTTGTTGGATAAAATAAATTCAACAAAAGATTTTGAGGCAGTCAAACTGGCACATGAACGTTTCCTTTCATCTCTACTGGCCCAAAGTTTTGTTCACATGAGAACTGTAAGTAGATCATTTTTGTCTCAAATAAGTAATTCTTTTTAAACTAGTATGGTCCGAGCCTGTTGCACAATGAACTTTTCTAGTGCCCATAAATATAAATATTTTTTTAATCTTCTAATCCTCAAAAATTGTCAAGTATACCTTGCACAAGTTTTGAAAAACAATTAATTAAGCATCATCATTTCACATAAAAAAAATATTTCTCTGCTGCAATTTTAATTTACAATGACTCCTAAGAATTCCTGATCAAATTTTGTGGCATCTCTGTTCCAACCAGGTGTTTTCATGTTTACAAGAGATTTTGAAACAATGTTCCTCCTTTTGCCGCCTGCTTGTCACTGCAGAATCTCCGATGAAGGACAACGATTTAGACAAAGTTAAAGCCATAACAGAGGCAAGTAGCTACAATCACATAACATTATCCATAAATTGTTTCCAAGTGGACACAATGTCATCACAATATATTTATCAATTGTTTTTATGTGTCTTTATAGACTAAAGATTTTGTTACACATAACATGCCAGCTATGAAATTTTAACAAACAGATATGCAGAACTTTACATATAAGTTGTTTCTATTTGAATTAAAAAAATGTTATTATGATATATCTATCTTTGTTGCATTTTATTATGATATTGCCAGCTTTGTTGCCTGTTGACTTGTGTATTTTTGAAATAGTTGTTGAACATAAATTTCTATAACATTTATGTACCGCTTGACTTTGTTTATACATTCACATCTAACTTGTGCATTTTTCTTGGTTATTTTCAGAAATTTCAACGCCACTCCAATTTACTGTTCCGTATTCTGTCTGGTGTTAACAATGAGAGTGCGAGGCCTCACCTCGCCCAGTTATTGCTGAGGTTGGATTTCAACAAATTTTACACCAACACAGGAGGTCAGCTGGGAAGGTGAGGCTTGAAGCCATGTATTTCCTATCATTAACTTAAGCAGTGATCTTAATACTGTTTAAAAAATTTAATTTAAAACAATTAATCAAAAACATTTAAACATTTTATTTATACTTTTAAAAATTAGAAAGTGGCATTAAAATGTATTGCTAATGATCACAGATTTCTTGAGTTAGTTACAGTTACATCTACAGTACTTGGTGAAAATGGTAAAATAATGATAATATTTTTTTTGTTGTAAAACAGCTCTAAATGATTGAGGGCAAGTCCAAGTTTTGAGGAAAAGCTGTTTTCCTAGCACCAAATATAGTCGCAGTGCTGTAACTTGACCAAATTCTACAACCTGGACCATCAAAATTAAACCATCATGTAACAATGTTACACTGCCCCAGAGAGAAGAACTTCTTGTGATTATTTTTCTTATTAAACAAATCTCATATCTTGTGTTACAAAATATTTTCTGTGTCTCATGATTTTTTTCCGACTGTTATAGCATTTTAAAATGTTTATTTAAGATGTATGGTTAAAAAAACCCTTGTAAATTATGTCATGTAAAATTATTTAATGCCCCTGAATAAAAAGTACTTGTTATTCATTCATGACTTGTGTTTTTTTGTTGATTAGCTTTATGTCACAGTCAAATTATGAAATGATCTCACTCCGTTTCATTAAAATTGCCACAAAGTTAGAAACAGATGATGTGCAGTTGTTGTAGGATGACAACACTATTTTTACAATTCATTTTCAATGACATCATTCAACTTGTCAGCACCAGTTTCATATTTGCTTTTTAGTCCAGTTGACCTCTTCGGTGAATTAATACTCAAAAACTTTTCTCCATTTTCTGGGACAATCAATAAAAGATGTCCATGGAAGATGTATAGAAAAAGGAGATGTGTGAATGGATATCACAAAGTTAGATTATGGAAGCAACGGTTTGGATAGATCCATGGGTTAAAAAGAGCAATGGGTTGGATAGATCCATGGGTTAAAAAGAGCAATGGTTTGGGTAGATCCATGGGTTAAAAAGAGCAATGGGTTGGATAGATCCATGGATAAGAGTATGAAATATGTCCATTAGTGTCCGTCTGTGGTTTTAATTGGATGTAATTAATCAACTCATCCGGTGTATGTATTTCTCTGAGTGACGGCTGCATGCTGTATGATACGTTATTTATCTTCTTTAATTAAAATCGCTGGGGATAAAGTCACTACACGTGACGCCTAACAGTGTATATAAGCTTGGGTAAGTCCACCTTACAGTGTATATAAGCTTGGGTAAGTCCACCTTACAGTGTATATAAGCTTGGGTAAGTCCACCTTACAGTGTAGGCCTATATAAGCTTGGGTAAGTCTTGACAAGTTCATTTAAATTCAAACAAAACAACCTTATAAATGAATAATTGATTTCAAAGGGAATTAAGTTCTTTTGTGTGTTTGTTTTGTTAGTTGCATCTGGCATGAACAGTGAAGTACAGTAATACGAGGCCATGACCTAAACACTAATGTATAATAGCAGGCCTGCACAACTCACAATGTAAGGCAGGCCGTAATATTTCGAAGTAGCTATTCGTACCCGGGTACCAGAAGTGAGAGGTTGGGATTAAATAAAACTATTTACAATTTTATTGTTGGGTTTGTAAGACACAATGATGTATCAAATGAAGAAAGATAATTGAATGGACTCATTGTTTGTAAACTAATTCTCCAGTTTAACTAAAATAATCTACCACAAATGACATCCGAATAGCACCGAGTCAAAATGGACCTAGACACGCAGCGCCGCCATTCGCACCCGGGTACCATTTTGTCGTACAAACCCAACAATAATATTTTAAATATTTTTTTTAAATCCGAACCTCTCACGTTTAGTACCTGGGTACGAACAGTCGTAGCCTAATATTTTATGAAAAACTTGTGTGGGCCGAAAGAAAATAGCACCGGTTGGGGGGGGGGGAGCTATTAATAAAGTAAAAATAAAAAAAGAATATTTCGTTACTTCGCGGGCCAAAAAAGGGGTGATGGCGGGCCGTATGTTGTGCAGGCCTGGTGTATAATAATGTTGAAGTCATGACTTTAACATTGGTGTATCGTCATAAGCAGTCATGACCTAGCCCCGATTGCAGCAGTTAAACCATCTACTTCAAATTATTTCTGGAAGTTGCATAAGTCATAAACAGGGCGGGCTCTCCCCCACCCCCACCCCCCTTTTCAGGGGCTCAAGGCATAGGCCTACTATTTCATAGTTAACAGCATGACAGGTCTGGATCCGCTCAAAAGCTATCGGTACGAAAGCATCTGTGTATAGGCCTACTGCATTAATCTCCAGTAGTTACAGTTTAGGTTTGCCGGTAGTTACAGTTTAGGTTTGCCAGTAGTTACAGTTTAGGTTTGCCGGTCGTTACAGTTTAGGTTTGCCGGTAGTTACAGTTTAGGTTTGCCGGTCGTTACAGGTTAGGTTTGCCGGTAGTTACAGTTTAGGTTTGCCGGTAGTTACAGTTTAGGTTTGCCGGTAGTTACAGTTTAGGTTTGTCGGTAGTTACAGTTTAGGTTTGCCGATATGCGATAAGATACGAAAGCAAATGACCATATGTTTTATATAATCAAACCCAAATGTGCATCTCCCCATCCCAGTGTGTCTGTGACCCAACTGGTCCCACTTCAAATGTAGAAGCTGGTTACCACTACTTTTCATAAGCATAGACCGAACCTACAAGGCGATGTTTGTTTCTACTGTGGCCCCAATCCTCGTGTTAGAGGTCAAGTTATCAAGGCCGCGCGTGTGTGAATCAATAATCGTTACACGCTGCACAGCACTGAAAGTAAGTGAATTCTCTCTCTCTCTTTTCTCTCCCTCTAATTACACACTCATTTTTTTTCCGAATTCTACCCCCTCTCTCGTTACCTCTTTAGCGGGGGTCACAAACAACAGCACTACCACCGATTTGATATCAGCATTCATCAGTGGTAATTAATTACCCACCCCCTACATAAAAGGCAGTCATATAATATATATTGTACATCCCACCCCAACCCGATAAAGGGTAGATCCGATATTTTTCAGATTCAGCGTGTTACTGCTTTGCATTAAAATAATAAAGCAATAAATAGTTAACAATGTCGTCTACATTTTTGACCGTTCCAACTCCCAGTGGAGCATTCAAAATGTATTTCCAAGCCTTCCGGTCTCTAGATATCTTTTCGACTCTAAAAATGTCCCATCTTTATTACATAGACTAGGACTAGGCCTCTTTGTCGACATCTCTTCGCCACTTTTTTTTTTTTTTTTGGTTGTTGTGTGTTTGGGGGGGGGGGGGGGGGGGCTTCTATCAAGACATAATATACATAGTAATAAATTCATCCTATCGTACCCGTGTCTGCTTAAAAATATAGAGGCCGACGTGCAACATATCTATACCATTATCACATTTAAACACAGTCTTAAACCAGAGATAGACCAATGTTCACATTACCTGTTAAATGGCATGACCTTGTCACTAAGTCAACTACGATAGCTAATTTAAAAAAAAAACAAAAAACTATTCAGGATATGCTATGTTAAATGTATCTTTCCCTTCTTCATTTTATTTACCATAAAGTAGGATTTATCTTAAAACAACTTTGTTTTGACTTGTTAAACTTCAACTTAAACATAGCTCAACATTATTGTAGAGGTTGCATCTGCGATGTATCACGCAAAAGGTCAGTGGCGTAGGAAGGGATTGAGGGGTGGACGGTTCCCCGGGCTGCACTTATACCACACGGAGGGGCAGCATTTTCGTCCAACTGCAGTTTTATAATGAAAGGGTGGGAAAAGGTTTGGTCTTCCTCTTCTTTATTTTGAGGGCCCACGATCAATGAATTGATTATTCTGGCTCCTATGTTTCAGAGGGGTTGGCGATGTTACTGTCCATGGGTTTCAAAGGGATAATTCAGTGGTTGCAGGGGCTACCCAGCAGTGGTGATATGAACTGGGGGTTGGAAGACAGGAGGCAATAGACACAAATGTGTCGAGTGTAGCCGCCTCGACTGTTGCTTTTGGAAGCTTGTTCCAGTCCCTTAAGGTCTTTGGCAGGAATGAGGAGCTCCTGTACCGAATTCTTGTTTTTATTAGCCGAAACTGCCTGTCGTGGCCTCGTCGCTGTCTAGGGGGGAGATGGACGAGTTTCTGTTTGATGCTGGAGCAGTGGACCAGCCCATTTCTGATCTTGTACAACATGGTGGGCCTGGATAGTCGTCGTTCTTCCAATGGTGACCAGCCCAGTGTTTCTAGCATGCTGCTAACACTTAAGGTGTTTCTGTAGCGGTTCAGGACAAAGCGTGCTGCCCGTCGCTGGACCGCCTCCAACCTGTAGATGCTTTTTTGGGTAAATGGGTCCCAGCCTGTAGATGCGTACTCTAAAAGCGACCGAACAAAGGCTTTATAAGCTTTTTTCTTTCACGCTTGAGTTGCCGATAACAATAATAATA